AGCTGACATAACTACGTGATGAGAGAAGGATGTCCAAGGGCGGCGGAGGGAGGAGAGTTGGCGCATCCCGAGATCTCCACACAGATGATCCTGCCCAGGTCCACGGTCCTCCCTTTCATGATGCAGTACATCAGCATGGCCCTGGTCCAGTGCAAGTCAGAAACATGTGAGCACGGGAGGATGTTGGCATGCACCAATGCGGACCAAATCCTGACAACCGGTAGTAGATCCTGGCGCTTCACGTGGAGAGGCTGCTGAGCTCGATTCTTGTGAAAGCTTGCCCCGGGCATGCATATGGCAACCTCTACCACCACAGGGTCCATCGTCGTGCCCGATTAGTTCCCAAACTCACATTTCTCCTCAAGCGTCAGTGCAGTCGCCAAAAAGTCATTAATCGTCTGGGCGTCAAAGGGGACTCGCACACCCCTCACATAGCTGGAATATGGCACAATGCCCTCCTTTGGTCTCAGGGCATTGGCATAGAACTCCTTGACTACAACTATATTGGCTGGAAGGGGTAGGAGCCAAGCTTGTCCCACCAGCACCTATGCAGCTCAATTTGGAACTCTTGTGCCTCGACGTCGCCAACTCAACCTGCCTCTCTAAAATGAATTTCCTGCCAATGATGGACTCAAAATGTGCCTCATTACGTTTGGTGAGGAATTGGCAGGAATAGGGTGACTCTGCTTGCGGGGAGGCTGACCCGGTTGGTCGGAGCGGGGATGTTTGCTTGCGGAGGCCATTTGTAGAAAATAACACAAGAAATCCCAGGCAGACAGATGAGAATAACAAGATAGACAAGGATGAACATTTTAGGTAACGCAAAATGAAGACTAGCCTTAGACCGAAATTGAAACATGAATTGGAAAAAAAAGAAACTAAACTAGAACAATCTAACCACATAAAGCACAGAAACATAAAAAGAAAATAAAACACAACAAAAACAAAGGGGCCAGAGGTGTATGCGTCGGGCGCAAAACAAAATTGCGTCGGGCGCAAAAATACCAGAGGGGTTATATTATTTAAGCACGTTGGGCGTAGTTCTTCACGCCTGGCTCATGTTCAAAACCCCAAGGTTTTACAGAACAGCCTTGCGTACAAGGGCATAAAAAAATCCATCTTTTGGTGCCAAAACCCCCAATGCAGGTTAGCGGAACCCCCATGGCAACCCAAAATTAAGAAAAAATGAAGAACCAGTTACAAAAGAAAAGAAAACACTAAGCACGAAAACCTACTTGAATGTGGAGTTGATTGAGGAGGAAATAGAGGCAGGTGCGTGCTCTTGAGAGTGCGAAACGTTGACCACGCCGGAGGGATGAAGGATGTGGAGAAAAGATAGTGGGAAGGAGATGTTTATGGGAGAAAAGAGAGAGTGATGGGAGGAAGAGGGGGCGTGAGAGAGTTGAGAGAGGTGATGGGGCGTGAGAGAGGGAAGAGAGGTGAAGGAGAAGTTGAGAGAAAAGGGAGTGTTGTGGGTAGTTGAGAGGTTGAAATGAGAGTGGGGAAGAGGGGAAAGTGGTTAAGGGCAACTAAAACGACGTGTCGGGCATGCAATTCATGCGCCGGGCTTGCTATCAGAAGAAGCCCAAGGGTTTCCCTTACCTGGTATCGCGCCGTGCGTATTTAGGGTAAACACGAGCAAGCATTCAATGCACCGGGCTTGACAGATACGCGCCCGACGTATTTAAGGCAGGGATCTTCCAGTGATTAATGCGCTGGGCGCATTCATGAGTGCACCGGGCGTGCTACCCCTAGAGCCTCTAGCCTTTAATGCGCTCGGCGTGCCAATAAAAATGCACCGGGCGTGGTTGTTCAAGGGGTCTCTAATGAATGCTAGGCCAGACAAAATAGAATTACGCCCGGCGTGAGGCTTGGCAGAGACCAAATGGCTCTAGTTGCACCGGGCGTGGCTATGTCGCGCCCGATGTGGTCAACTCTATGAAGGTTTTACCTGACTTTTCCACTCCTCACACTCCTAACAGGATCTAATCTATATCTACCCATTCAAGCATGATTCACACAATTGCATACAACACAAACAATCACAATGCAAGTCACATAAACAATTATAGCATATAACTATAACACACATTCACAATCAAAACTAAAACACCAAGTAACTGAAAAACATATGAAACAAAGTTCAGATCTCTGGGTTGCCTCCTAGGAAGCGCTTGTTTAATGTCTCGAGCCTGACTAGAAGAGACTAAACATATGGAGTGGATTACTTGGAGACTTTTGCACCAATTTCCAAAATGAACATGGTTAAGGTAATTTTGTCAGTGGCAGCAAACCACGATTGGGAGATTCACTAAAGTCATGACAAGCCTTAGATACAAACAAAGCCAAGGGGACCACACTTTATTTATCAAGAATTCTAATTTAGGGGGAGTAACAATACTATTGGTCTATGAGGATGATATCATTGTAACTGGGAATGATGAAAAGCAATAGCAAAGGTTGAGTTAATGCCTTGCCAAGGAATTCGAAATCAAGACCTTAGGGAAGCTAAAATATTTTTTGAGGATTGAAGTGGCCCATTCCGAGAAAGGGGTCTTCATATCTCAACAAAAATACATTACTGACTTGCTTAAGGAAACAGGTAAGTCAGCTTGCAAACCAACAAGTACACCAATTGACCCAAATATAAAGTTGGGAAGTGCGGAGGAGGATGTTGTTGTGGATAAGGAAATGTACCAAAAGCTTGTGGACAAACTCATTTACCTATCTTACACTAGGCTAGATGTTGCCTTTGCCGTGAGCCTAGTTAGCCAATTTATGTACCAACCAAAGGAAGCACATTTACAAGCTGCCCTTAGAATTGTCCAGTATTTAAAAGGGACTCCAAGAAGAGGAATTTTGTTAAAACAAAACAAGAATGTTAGTCTAGAGGCATATACAGATGTTGATTATGCGGATTCAGTTGTGGATAGGAAGTCAACTAATGGATATTGCACCTTCCTTGGTGGAAACCTAGTAACTTGGAGCAAAAAATAAAGTATGGTAGCTATCTAGTGCTGAAGCAGAATTTCGAGCAATGGCCCAAGGAATTTGTGAATTGTTATGGCTGAAGATTATATTGGAAGACTTAAGGATAAAATGGGATGAACCTATGAGGGTTATATTGTGACAATAAATTTGCAATTAGTATAGTCCATAATCCGGTACAGCATGATAGAACTAAACATATCAAGGTGGATAAACATTTTATCAAAGAAAAGCTTGACAGTGGCTTGATTTGCACCCCATATGTGTCCACTCAAGGTCAACTTGCAAACATACTCACCAAGGGTTGAACAACTGTAACTTTGAAAGAATTATATCCAAGCTAGGATTTGTTCCCTAGAATAACAATCCCACAATCACAAGGATTTGTCCCCTAGAATAGGCTGTTCCTATTTCCTAAAATAGTCAACAGGCTCGTGTATAAAAGTGATGTATCTTATGATTAAAATAATATATAAAACATATGATTTCTTCTAAATTTGAGACTCTTCATCAAATTTCCTTCTCTAGTAACAGCATTTGGGGTCCAAAAGATATATAAACAGGTGAAAGAATTATATCCAAGCTAGGATTTGTTCCCTAGAATAACAATCCCACAATCACAAGGATTTGTCCCCTAGAATAGGCTGTTCCTATTTCCTAAAATAGTCAACAGGCTCGTGTATAAAAGTGATGTATCTTATGATTAAAATAATATATAAAACATATGATTTCTTCTAAATTTGAGACTCTTCATCAAATTTCCTTCTCTAGTAACAGCATTTGGGGTCCAAAAGATATATAAACAGGTGAAAGAATTATATCCAAGCTAGGATTTGTTCCCTAGAATAACAATCCCACAATCACAAGGATTTGTCCCCTAGAATAGGCTGTTCCTATTTCCTAAAATAGTCAACAGGCTCGTGTATAAAAGTGATGTATCTTATGATTAAAATAATATATAAAACATATGATTTCTTCTAAATTTGAGACTCTTCATCAAATTTCCTTCTCTAGTAACAGCATTTGGGGTCCAAAAGATATATAAACAGGTGAATTATCATTGATGACTTGATGTTAGTAAAGGGAGGAATTCTAAAGGATTGGTGCATGTAATTCTTAACAGCACTAAATTGTATTCATGAGCTTGCAATGTCATGTTCTAAGCATGTTGTTTTTTCTTTTCGTTTTAGACCACCTTCTCTATTTTTTTTTTATGTCTCACTGGGCTTGTTTATACTTCATATCCATAATATGAAATTACATTCATATTTTTTTTTTTATTTCAATGCTTAGTTGCAGAAAATTATATTATGTAGCCATTTAGCTAGTCTTATAGAAGAAGAAAAACTGCTTTAGTGTGCTTCTGTTGTATTGTTATTAAGATTACATTTTTCCTATTAATAACTAAGTGGATCTAGTGTCCTTGTGAAGTACCTTGTGTATGCTTGTCTGTTGCTTTCCAGGTCAAATCTCGCCTAAACATTTATAAGCAAAATGCAGAAGCAGCATCTTCCTCTTACTCAAACATAGCACATAAGGTCATTGGAGATTATTCACATTCTCATCTGTCTGTCTTATGTCTTGATGTGAACTAGTGAGACAATCACTCACATTTAACTTATTTGTCATATGCACAGATTGATGGCAGCCATTCAAAAGAAAAAGTTTTCAAAGAAATTGAATCTGTATTATCTCAATTGCAACAGGATAAAGTGAAAATAATGAAATCAGGAGGTATGAAGCTTCAAGAGCATATGTCAAACATCACCCATGACATATTTGTAGGGGTTGAAAATTTAGAGTCTGTTTAATTTCATAAGTACTTCTCTATTTTCGTTATTTTTTTCACAAATAATTACAAAAGTATCACCTTGTTTCCACTTTTTTTTTTTTTTTCTGGTTTTAAAAATTTTGTATAGAAAACAGTGAAAGCAAAGTGGCCTTTTTTTAATTATTTAAAAAAAAAAAAAGATAAGATAATATTTTCTGAAACCAAATGAACCTGTGTATTTTGAAGGCATGTCATTCATCAACTCAAGTGGATGTGTGTTCCATATTCTCAATCTTGAAATGGTATTTAATAAAAAAATTCCAGGCTTAATTGCATTTTGTTCCTTCCATATTAGTTAACGCGCTATTTAGGTCCTATAATAATTCTTCATCTGAACTTAACTCCCCAATTTTTAAATTGTCAATCTAACCCTTTTCTAAGTTATCATTTACCTAAAACCGTCCAAAACCTTTTTTTCTGGTCAAATAATTAGGGCACTAGGAAAATCTTAAGATATGAAATTATGTAATTAGTTCAGAATCTGGAAATTGGGTAAGAACATGATCAAAATTCTTAATGAATTTTGTAAGTGGGATTGGGGTTTTGAAGAAGGGGAATTTTTTAATTTTTGGTGAATTATAATGTTTTGATTGGTGGGTTTCGAGGAAAAGGAGGGTTTTGATTGGTTTAATTAATTTAGTTTTTAGAGATTTTGAGTAGAAAATGAGGATTGAAGTTATTAAGTAGACGGAAACTAAAAAAGGCATGTGCATGTAACAATTCAAAAAATATGGGGTTAAATTTAGGCAAAAGTATATTATTGAGAAATAGAATTCAAGCAAAAGTTAGTGGGAAACTCAAATTGCAGTTACTTATTGCAGAGATACCAAAAGTGCAATTAAGCATAACTTTTGAAGTCCTGTTATTTAGTTTTGTTATGATATGCGGGAGCACATATTTCTTTCTGATTGAGATGCTAATAACATTTGGACATATTGACATGGGGTTTAATATGCAATAAGCAGGAACTAATCATATTTTTTAAGATCCTTTACTAACTTCTTTTAATTCAGAAAAATCAATTCTTGATACAAAGAAAGGACAGACATCTTTGAGCCAGGTAGATGGTTGTACTTTATTAAAAGGCATTTGTTTCTTTATTTTGAAAAACTTTCCTCCTATCTGCTATGAAAGCCTTCTTTGTACATTGTTTCTTATTTTGCCTTAGCTTGTTACAGGATAAGTGGAGAGGGATTCCTACTAGGCTAAATAACATTCCCCATTCTCGGGAAATCAGGAAATATTTCTATGATGATGTGCTACAAGCTACACAAAGAGCTGTCAATGATGGAAAAACTAGGTTGAAGGTATGGAACTATTATCTAAAATCTGCAACTAGTTGATGCTTCCTATTATTTGAGTGACTCTAGATCCTTGCATTTGCAATACCTTTAACCATTTCCATTCTTACTTATTCTGTCCCAAGAAAAACGTTGCATATTTAAATATATATATAAAAAAAAAAGTAATAAGAATCAACATTCTTTTTGCATGCAGAATATTCTTTCTATGTTAGAGAGAGTAATAACATAACTGATTACTGAGGTGAATGAAGGGTAGGAAGGTCAGACGGAAAATATTAAGCTTTTACCATGTATGCTGACTGGTACTATTTTTAATTCCCTTGGATCCGATGCTGATATCTGCTTTATTTGTAATTCCTAATCAAACAGGTTGATATCAACATTCCTGAACTGAACCCAGAAATGGTATGGACATCTTTATATTTTCATTTCCTATAACTGTCTTTGATTTGACCTCATTGTGGTTTACAGGATGTGTATCGAATAGGTACCTTGATGGAACTTGTTCGAGATCTTGCCCTTTCTTTTGCTGATGATGGAAAACGGGTTAAGGTATCTTTCTTGCTCCTTTTGTTTTGACATGGAATATTTTTTCATCGTCCAGAGAATAAAATGGTACAAGAATATTATTTTCATTGTCCAGAGAATTAAATGGTATAACTGTACTATTGTCTGTAATTGTTGGACACAATGTTTTTTATTTAAATTTCTTTATCTTCATCATGCAGGTTTGTGTACAAGGGTCGATGGGAGAAGGTGCTCTTGCTGGAATGCCTTTGCAGCTTGCTGGAACTCGTAAGATTTTAGAGTTCATGGATTGGGGTGATTATGGAGCAAAAGGAACCTTCATCAATATTGGTTCTATAGGTATATCAATGAGCTGTACTTTGTATGGTTCTGTTGTTACAGTTTTGATAATGTATATCAATGCCCTTGTATTTACCTGCTGCACACCTTTAGATTTTTGTATCCCAGAGTCTAGCTTAACAGTGTGTTTTGTAACACGTTGATTTGCACTCAACATGGATCCTTGTCCTTGAAGCAACAAATTGTTACTTTTGTGTTGTTTGCAATGTGATTTTACAGTGTACATGGATCCTAAATGTGTTACCAAACACCCACTAAATCTTAATATCTAGAGTTTAATTTCCAATTTCAGGTGCTGCAGAGGTTGAGGAGCAAGATGACATGTATATCTTGGTGGCTCCTCAAAATGCTGTTGGGAATTGCATTATTGATGTAAGTGGATAGAATGAGAATTTTACATATTTTACTGATATAACATCTATTGAGGCCTTTTTTCCTTCCATTTTTTCTTGATAGATTTTGGCATGCTTTCTTCAACTTCATCATGCTGTTCTCTCTTTTTTCTCTTAATATTTGAGGTTGTAAATACAGGATCTAAGAGCCATGACCAATGCTGCCGAACACAGACCAGTTATCCTAATCAATGCTAGGCTTAAGGTTCAGTTCCAAGCTCTTATATTACAGTTCAAATCTATTTCATGAAATAGCTTTATGATTTACAGCTTTTTTTTTCAAATTGTCATGACTTAACGAAATAAGAATGATCTAAACCTGATTCAGTATTAAGTCAACTTCGTAACATGCCTAGTTGACCAAACTTCGTTGTAAGATGGGATTCATATAACCAGTTTACACTTAGAGTTAGAAACTATTTGCCAAATAGTTTAGCCTAGTATCTTCAATTGCATGCTGATAAGTGATTTTTAATTATTTCTACCTTTTTGAATAACTAACTAGTTCTATAAAACTACTGAAAGGAAGATTGGCTTTGTCATGATTAGAGGCAATTTCATTTTTTGATAGAATTGGGCAATAGACTGTTAGACCAGCTATTAAGTGTGTCTGTATAAGGAGAAATAGAAAGAAGTCTAGACCCTATTCAAGTGGACCTGAAACTGACGAAATGTTGGGAGGAAGTTAGAGCTGTTACAGCTGGGGGTGGGGGTGGGACAGGGGACGTTTTAAGTGACATTTGGTTGTGGGAGAGAGCAAGCTGTTGAAGACCCGAGTTTTATTCTATAATTCTTTTCATCATCTTTAGGAACCCACTGTTCCAAAGAAGGGTTAGATTGCAACAAAACATTCTTTGTTTCTTCTATATTTTGTGAATTTGGTTCGTAACACAGGCTTTTTTGGATTTCAATTCTTAGATGTTAAGAATCACCTTACAGTGACAGACTGCTTTGTAGAACTCGGTGTAGCACCATGAGGTGCACTTTTGAATGCTTGTATTAATTACAACATCTTTTCTAGCAAAATTGAGTAAATTACATCTTGATACTTTTCTGCTAATCTGTTCTACACTATTACTGTTTTTAGGTGGTGAAACCAACAACCGTATTAACCTTACAAGTATAGAATATATTCAGACAGTTTAGTTTTCGTAGAAGCATAGAATATCTTTGGTTGCTTGGTCTTCCTGAGGATCATTTTATGTTTATACTGCAACTTTCAACCCCTTTTTAAACAATATCTTTACATTCTGTTATACTCATTAATAAAACTGACACAGTTCTATGAATTTAGGATTTGCCTGGTTCTAGCGGTATTATGCAAGTGAGTACTAAACCAGCAAGTTGAAGATATCAATTTATTCTTGAAAAAGTATGGTTATAACTTTGCCTTCTTAATCACTAGACAATGGGGAGGGACCAGAGACTCAAGTATGCAGCATCATTTGAAAGTTGCTACTTCTTTCGGCTTCTGTATTATGCAGGAACCCAGTATCCCATCATGGGAGCTATCAGGTTAGACAGTAACATATATGCATCATTAAGATTTTTTATTAATTTATGTGTCACTGACTGACTTGGATAAGAAAAGAAGGCGTAGTGTACTGAGAAAAGATAACATTGAACTTCCATGCTGTCTTGGCTTGCTTCACTGAATACTCTCAAAACTTTAAATGATCAGAAAAATGGATTTTTGGGAACTAGAGAGAAAAAAAATAATTGAAGACTGTGTTTCCATATGTTCATAAAAACAAACCAAATTGATTCACGTTTCCTCCGGCTGGTGTAAAATTTTCTTTTCCTTCAATGCAAGGGGTGACTGGGTGAAGGAATTAACAATGTAGAAAGTATAACACCGTTATCATGATTAGATTGCTTGAAATAACCAAATTAGATATTTAATTGTTTGATATGGTCAAAATACAAAGACATTTTCTATCTTCTGCCAGTAGTAGTCACGCAGTATGGTACTCTAAATTCACTTATTGTGATTTAGGATGACTTATCCATACCAATATGAGCTTTACAAGAGGGTAGATGAATCACCTGGAAAGGAGAAGTATGTTATTTTGTCTACATTTCCACAGAGGCCTACCACAGATGAAATTAACGATGCTTTTCAAGGAAAACCAAGGTAACTGATGTGTTATTTTTATGAGCTAGAAGTTACAAGCTTGCTCCATCTTATCTAACTTTCTTTTGTAGCATTTAAGCTTGACAAAATAGAATTCCATTGAATTATTTGTCTGACAATTTTGCAGTAATGAAACTAGGAAAGCCTCAGGGATTTGGTTAGTAACTTTATCCTCAGACCATTATTAGTTCTTACCCCTATATGGCAAGTTATGTCAAGCAATTTTTTTTGGTTATTGTGTGTGTATCTCTTGCAGGGGCTTCTTAAGTGGCATACTCTGAGCAGACTGCAAACCAATGGGAAAGTGCCTAAGTATTTGATTTTCTTAATTAATTATTGAAGAACGATGATAATCGGCTGTGATTACAGGAAAAAATCAAAGTCAGAGCTTGTAGTTCAACTGTCTGGTGGTGGAGCAGCTTCTTTAAAATTGAGTGCAGATGACGAGTGCAGATGATAGGGAGATGAAGATTTCAAACAACTTGTCAAATTGTAAATGATATAAGATTTTAGGGACCAGGTGGAACAGCTTTACTTATAAACAACTACATCAATATATATATTATGGGGCTCACAGGATAACAACTGTATTGACTTTTTTGTAACTATGGGTCAATTATTTTTATTGTGGTTAGTGGTTACGTAAAGGGTGAGGTATATGTACGTGTATTATAACTTCTGTATAATCAAGTGCTGAATTAAATGCAAGTTGCTTTCCAGCTCGTATTTCTTGATAGCTAGGGTGATTATTTTGGCTTGGTTGTGAATCTTGTTGGTAACGAATTTCCTCAACTAGGCTAATATTCCATTGTAGAGATTACACATCTAGAAAGTAGAAATGATTTGTTTCTTCAAGGCATGTAAGCCCGTCCATTTCTTGTGCTCTTCTCCATAAATCCGTGTTCATTATATTGTCAACTTGTTACGTGTTTCAATGAATAATGATTTAAGGGGAAAGAAAGTAAAGGGAATCCATATTATCCTCTCCTCAGCCTCGTAGGATAGCTCTGAATCGTTTTTCGTTTCTATCACGTTGAAGGTAATAAAGTCTTTATTTAAATTTGAAAGTAAAGCTGGTGTTGTAATCATACACCTAATGTAGGCTTAAAGTTTTTATATGTGGTTTGAGATCAAACCACGCTCCATCATGCTCGGTATGTTTTGGTACAAGGTCACACCAGGACCCCACATTTCCAAACATTCATTTATTTGCATAAATAATATTGTCAATCGCCTCTAATTATAGGAAATTTTACGGTAAAACCACGCCACGTTTATATACTCTCAAATGATTAAAAAAATTAATTATTATTATATATAATTTTGTGTACATTTACATGCCAATTTATATACTCATAATAATATAATAATACATAATTAAAAAGACATTAGAATCGGTCTAGTATTAAAGGTTGAGATAGATATATAATGACAATGGTTTCATGTCATACTTTTATTTTTTATGAAGATATAATTTCTTTTCACTGAATCCATCTTTATAAAGATAGAGTAGTATATTCAATTGTGATTTCATGTTTGAGACAAAGATATCGTAATCTTTCTTACTCTATTAAAAAATACACAAAAGCATATCCTATAATATATATA